GCCAAAGAATTAAGTCCAAAGGCCCCCCCATCTCCAGGGCATGAGGTGGGGTCAGTCTCCGTGGGCTGCTCAGCCTCTCTGCTGAGTCTGCCAGCACATCAGTGCCAAGGCAGTGGCTGGTTTGGGATGTGAACGCCAGCAATTGGTTGAGAGCTCTGTGTCCCATTATAAGCCCCTGGCCCCCCAGCAGAGCCACACGCCCCTCCAAAGCCCCCAGCCCAGTGCCATCACCTGGTAGAGTCTGAGGAGGTTCCCCCCCTCTGAGGACAGGAAGCCGGTCTCGGTGTGGTACCTCAGGATGGACCTGTTCTTCCATTCCTTCAGGGGCGTCTTGTTGGTTACGTGCCACACGGACAGGTCCTGGGCTTGAAGATCGTAATAACCAGGGTTCTGAAAAGTGAAGACCCAGTTGAAACCTATCAACCACATCCCTGGTACTTAACCGGCCCCCCCATCACCGGGGCATCCGGGCACCTCCCCAGCTGTGGTATATGTATCCTGACACTCGCCCCACAAAGCACAGAAGCGCAATTCCCCATTGTACAGGGGAGAACCGAGGCACAGAGACTAGGTGACTTGCCCTAGGTCACACAGGGGGCTTGTGGCAGGGCAGGAAATGGAACCCAGGACTTCCAAGCCCTTCGCTAGCACCTTGACCTCTGGACCATCCCCCCATTTAACCCCCATGCCCATGTCTCCCACCTGCCCATGTGCATTCACCCACATTCTAACGCACCCTCTCTCCCCAGCAGGTAGCTATTGGCCATGGAGAAGGGGACCCCACCTTGTAGTCATCGCTGGTGGAGCCCACTGCAGAGCCGAAGGTGTTGTAATTGGCCCAGTTGCCGTCTCCCTCTGGGTAGTTGACGTCGCTCCCCTGCTGGCTGGACCAGCGATCGCCATTGGTGCACTTCCCGTAGGCGTTGTTCTCGTGCACGCTGGCCACCAGGGTCCAGCCGCCCCCCTTGGTGGTCATGTCGCAGAAGGTCTGGTAGGTCTCGCCGTTCTCGGTGCGCAGGGTGTAAATCCCATCTGCAGGGGACGGGGCGGGAAGGGAGGAGCACCGAGCTGGTCAGCCAGGGCCGTGGAAAGGGGCAGGGCCCTCTCGGAGCCAGCCATTAAATGGAAAACCCCCAGGTGAGGAGCTTCTAGTGCGCTGCAGCAGGGGGCAAACCCGGAGTCACTGGAGCAGGACGTGCCCCTGCATCCCGGGACAGAGCGGCCTGATTCCCAGGGACACTAAAGCCCCCTAGGCAGCGGGAAGTGAGTGCAAATTACAGGGACTCCCAGAGGACGGGGCCTGAGCCTTTCCACACACAAGCTGTAGCACATTAATGATACCGGTGTAGTTACAGCGCTACAACTCCTTAGTGTGGACACAATTTATACTGGCTTAAAGGAGCTTTATACAGGGATAGCCATTCCCATGGGGAGGAAAATCGGCTGTCCCTGTCTAAGGCACCTTTCTCCCAGTACAACTGTGTTCCGGGGGTGGATTGGTATCAATATATCAGGAAAACGCATCTCCCGACCCGTCACAGTGACACCGGCACAGATGCCGTGCGCAGACCAGGCCTAAGTGTAACCGAGAATCAGGCCCGGGGGCCATTTGTGCTCAGGAAAGGCCCCAGGCCTCATTCAGAGCCCCCTGTCCCTCCTGCTGTCTGTGTCCCCGCGCTGTGTCCCTCTTTTGAGCCTGAGCCTGCGGTGACTCGGTCTGGGGGCGGAACAATGGGTGGAACAGAGTCAGGCAAAGAATCTACCGCCCACGGAGGGGTAAAGTTACGTGCCCTTCGCCTGGAGCCCTAGGAACTGGGAAAGGGTGGGGGTGCCTAAATTAACCTGGAGTCCTAGGCCCTAGGTAGAGGTGGGATGCCCTAGAGTGTGCAAGGGACAGAGAATGTTGTGCGGGTAACAGGAGGGCCCCCGGCACGTGTGCTTGGCACAAGGCACTCCCCCGGTTCGC